GATCCAGTGTAAGCCCTCAATGGAGACACTGGAGTCACTCAGTATGATCCAGTGTAAGCCCTCAATGGAGACACTGGAGTCACTAGAGCAACTTGATGTATTCATATTCCTTGCCCTCCGAGAGTCCTGGTCAATTATGGGGCTCTGTCGAGGTGTCTGCTGTTCCGTTTTGCCACTTGGGAGCAACTCGCACCGCTTTTAAAACCATCTGAGGATCAAGCTCGAACGCAAAACTGAGACGGCCCATGGCATGGGCGTGTGGGCTCCAGAAACCCTTCAGAGCTTCCAGGGTAGCTCCAAAACACCGCGCCGCCGTGTGCCCCACAGAACCCTTCACCTGTCCCTGACCTATCCAGGCCAGTCATCTCTCTTCAGCTCTCCCCCCAACCATCCCACCATGCTGCTCCCCTTTGCTCACCGCGTTGCGAAGTCTTGGAACATCTGCGGACTCGGCCACGGCTCTTCGACCACTGACGTGCTGAAGTTCACGGTGCGAACCTGGCTTTTCTCGGCTCCGTGTGAATTTCCGGGCCACATCGGATGAAGGGAACTCCAGCATACTGGGTAGAAGGTGAACCAAACAAAGGACCAATTAGGGCAAGGAACCTGGTGTCCAATTTTCAGAAAGTAAGACCTCCACGTGTTTGTTCCACACTACTGGGCATCTCGACGCGCCAAAGAGCACCATGAGATCCAGGTGCAAAACACCATCAGATCCAATCACACCACAGCGAACACAAATCTTTCAGCTTTGTAAAGCCTTTCACTTCAACATCCTTCCACTGCTCCGAAACCCTTCCACCAAACCAACGGCTCCGAAACCCTTCCCATCTCACCTTCCAGTCGAGCTTTGGGCTGTAGAAGTGTTGCACCGCCCAACTCATCAGTTCTTCGGTCCTCTCCTGGGCTCTGTCTTCGCTCAACAGCTCCGCCCCGCAGAGGCGGAACGTTTTCTTGTCCACCGCGCAGGCATGGTACAGACCTGAGCGCAGCGTCGGCGAAAGACGCCGCGTCTCCGCACGCGTCTGACGTCCGACCCTGCTGGGAACATGGTGCAATCTCCGGAACTGACCCTGCCAAGTGGTCCAGCTGTAGCCCCCACAGACACAAGCTTGGTTCCATTTTGGCTCAACCGATTAGCTGGCTGGAAACCGTGCAACTACATGAATGCAGGGAGTGCGGCAGCTTGCTGAACAAGTCAGCACCATTCAGATTTCTATGGATGCACATGATCAAACGGTTCTAGGAATTAAGCAGTAAGTCACTGTTTTATTGTCGGCCTCACTCATACTCATTTGTTATCATGCATGAGTAGGTGTGCACTATACCTACCATCTCATATTCATGCCAGAATGCCAGGTTACCAATCCTCTTAAAGCCCCTACCAGCGAAGAGGCTGGAAAGGAGCAAAGACTTCTGGATCTGACCGCAAACGAGGCTACCCTGGCAACCCTACTACCAGCGTGGAAGGGTCAGTGCAAGCGCCGTTTTTGTGGTGCACAAGTTTAAAAGCCTTGCCAAGTGGTTTTCCAGCTACAGTATTTCTTGAGCTGCGTGCAACGCACCATTCCAAAACCTAGGCCATCAATGGGGTCATGTCCGAACGTTCACCGCCTGAATGCGAGCCACCTTCTTTGGTCCGCGCGTAGGTCTTTTCGCACTGGCCCACTGCGAAGTCCTGATGCGAATCTACCACTGCGGTCAGTTTGGTGCCAGAAAGTCGGAAGATCTGATCCGTTGTTGATACAACTCTGTCTGAAGATCTCTCAAGTGCCCGTGGGGTTGGCACAGGAGCCTCATGCGCAGCACTCAGAACACTAGTGATTGGCTAGAATGATGGCACGGTCCACCAGCTGTTCAGGTAGGACGGCTGATTCGATTATTCCGAACGAGGAAAGAACAGGAAAGAACACGATGTGGAAACAATGTTTGACCAATGACCAAACCTGCCACCCACTTGCTGCTTCAAAGCCTAAACCTCACATGGCCACTCCACATCAAAGCATGCAGTTTCTGATGTAAGACTGTTCAAGATCGCCTGGCTGGGCTCCCAGGCCCTGGACCGCCCCTTCGGCACCCGGACCGCCCCTCTCCT